TCCTGAGCTTCAAACAGCCTCCCGCTCAGCTCCAGCAACAGCAGCAACTGCTGATCACCAGACTGCACTGCCAGCAGCTGGCGAGCTCACAATACCACGGGCACATCAAGGTCAGCATCATCCCCCCACACCCCCCCCCCTCCCTCCGCCCCCGAGTCATCGTCCCCGAGTCGTCACCCCCTCATCCCCCCCCCCACCCCACCACCACGCTCTGCGACTCCCGTAGCTCAGTGGTTCGAGCCCTCGCCTCGCAAACCAGAGGACCCGGGTTGAGTTCCCGGGCGGGCAGTGCGAAACCTTAGGCAAGTTTCCTTACTCTGCACGCACACGCACATGCCGCACAGACACACGCACAGACACACACCGCACAGACACACGCACAGACACACACCGCACAGACACACGCACAGACACACGCACACACCGCACAGACACACGCACAGACACACGCACACACGCAGACACACACACACGCAGACACACACACAGATAGACACAGACACACACACAGACACACACACAGATAGACACAGACACAGACAAGACACACACACAGACACACACACGCAGACAGACACACAGATAGACACAGACACACACACACAGACAGACACACACACACACAGACAGACACACACGCAGACACACACAGATAGACACACACACAGACACAGACACACACAGACAGACACACACGCAGACACACACACAGACAGACACACACACACACTCAGACGGACACACGCACACCCCCACACACGCCTGTTTACCAGCAGTAAGTAGGAACCCGCGTGTTGGTCGATCTGCGGAGCTCTTTTCAGGGGTTAATAATCCCTCCAACAACCAAAACCCCCACCTCCCAAAAATGGGGTCGATCAATCCACGACTGTTTTGCCGGACACTGCTGTGCGCAATTGGCTGCCGCGTTTTGCCCACAAGCTATATGGTCGCTGCACTCCCAAGGAGATTGCTGCGGGTGTAGTGACTGTGCGTTTGAAGAGCTCTGAGAAGCTGTCCCTTTGAAGGCTGTATAAATGCAAGTAGTCGTTGCTGTTTGTCCCTCATCCCCTCACCTTTCAGTGCGGAGCAGACCAGTCACTGGGGGCAGGGAACTAACTAACCAACCAACCAATCAACTAACTAACTAACTAACTAACTAACGGGAGGGTGGCGGGAAAGCTTGACCAGGGTTTAGTTGGTTAGACTCCCAACGGAGGAGGGGGTTGTGAATGCTGTGGCCGAGTCTAAGAGGGTTTTGTCTGTGTTGTTTCTGTTCCTCACAGCTGAGTGTAGATCAGCAGCAATGGGATCAGGAGAGACAACGAGAGCACGAGATGAAGTTACGTCAACTGTGGCACAAGGAGAAAGACAAACAGAGTAAGAGATGGGGGTGTGGGGTGAGGGGGGGTGTGTAGGGGAGCCAGTGTCTGGGCATTCGCGCTCACGCCTCGGACGTCAGCAAATTCTGGGTTCAAACCCCTCCCAACACTTACACTTTGAGCTCACGGTCCAGTGTCCACTGCTGGAGGGAGACACTGTCCTTCAGGTGAGACGTTAGACCTCCCCCACCCTCCCCCTTCCCCTTCCCCACCTCCAAATCCCTCCCCCCCCCCACCCCGCCCGCTTCCACGCCATCTTTGTGTGGACATTAAAGATCCCACGGGAAAAGGTTTCTCCTCCTGGTTTCTCCCTCCCGGTGTCGTGGCCAACAATTCCCACTCTCCCCTCACCCCCCCCCCCAAAACCCCAGATAAATCAGTCAGCCACTCCGGGGCCTGTTATTTGTGGTAACTTACCATCTGCACAAAATACCCAGTCACTACACTTGCCCATGGTGGTGGTGGGGGGGGGGAAGTTCCTTCGGGACTATGTATAGATGGAAGAAGGACGTTGGCTAAAAATAGCCCAAACCACAGGAAGCCAAGAGGAGATTTTAGCCGTTTTCATTTTCTATTTGGATCCTTGTTCTTTTGCTGCAAAGCTCTTCCTCTTCTCCCCGCACTCCCCCCCCCCCCCCACCCCGCAACCTCCCCGCCTCCCCCCCCACCCCCTTCCTCGGGCGAGAGAGAGAGAGTGAGAGGGAGAGAGTGTGAAAGGGAAGTGGTTGTCAATCTGTCTTCACCAGTGTTAATGTTGCGAGAAGCTACGACTTTTTCCGCTTCGAGGAAGTGAGTTTGGGAAAGACGCAGCAGAGAATCCGGCCGTGTTTTCGTGACTCGGAAAGGGTGGGGGGGGTCGCTCCCCCACTGCTCTTGGGGGGGGGGCGGCGGTGGGTGTTGGGGGAGGCCTTGGGGGAAACAACCTGAAACCCCCATCGCTGTTTTTAGCCCCAACGAAAGGACCCGGGTTTGATTCGCAGACAGGTCGGGGCGAAACCTTAAACCAAGGGTTGGTTGGGGTTGGGGTTGGTTGGGGTTGGGGTTGGTTGGGGTTGGGGTTGGTTGGGGTTGGGATTGGTTGGGGTTGAGGTTGGTTGGGGTTGGGGTTGGTTGGGGTTGGGATTGGTTGGGGTTGAGGTTGGTTGGGGTTGGGGTTGGTTGGGGTTAGGGTTGGGGTTGGTTAGGGTTGGGGTTGGTTGGGGTTAGTTGGGGTTGGGGTTGGTTGGGGTTGAGGTTGGGGTTGGTTGGGGTTGAGGTTGGGGTTGGTTGGGGTTAGGGTTGGGGTTGGTTGGGGTTCGGGTTGGGGTTGGTTGGGGTTAGCGTTGAGGTTGGTTGGGGTTAGTTGGGGTTGGGGTTAGTTGGGGTTGGGGTTGGGAGCGGTGAATGTGAGGTGGGGGGGAAATCGGGGGATACAGGATCTGTGACTCCGTCCGTCACTCACTCCGTTGCCCCCTCCCTGTTGTTGCCCATCACTCTCTCCTTCCTCCCCCCACCCCCCCCCCAATCGTTGTGCGCCATTCACTCTGTTCCCCCCTCCCCCCACCCCCGTGTTGTCCACAGGCGCGGTCGCCAGCTCCGAGGTCAAACAGCGGCTGCAGGAATTCGTGCTGAAGAAGCAGGCGGCCCTAAAGCACAGCCCCGGCAACGGCCCTAGCAACGCAGCGGCGGGCTACAGGTGGGCAACCGACCGAAACCATGGCAACCCTAACCCCCACACTCACCAACACCCTCGCCTCGCCCCCGCCCGCTCACCACAGCAACAGCAATAACCCCCGCATTCGACCCGGCGCCTCATCACGTCTTCGAGACGTCTCAGAGCGCTTCACAGGACACACGGCGAAGTGTGGTGACTGTGTGTTTTGTGGGCGAAACGCGGCGGCCAATTGGCGCACAGCGGCGTTCCCCGCCAACAGTGCGCGGATTTGGCGCGTTCAGTCACTCTTAAGCACGGTGACGGGTTCCCGCGTGTGTCAGACACCCGGCTGACCCCCTCCCCCACCCAAACAATCTCTAGACGCTTCTATGGGTTCTCCCCCCCCCCCCACAAAAGATGGCGTCCTTCGGATGAGACGTTAAACCCAGCTTACCCCCCCCCCCCCACCCCGCACCACGGTCCGTGCCCTGTTCAGGACGGATGTTAAAGATCTCTCGTTGCGCTGTCGGTGGGGGGAAAAGAGAAGGAAGTGTCTCTCTGCCCCACAAACTATTCCCCCCTTCCCCCCCCAACCGATCAATGGCTCATTCATTTCACGCCTGCACATACACAGTCACTACACCGTACCGTGTGAGGCAAACTGGGATATATTTTGAGGGGGCGGCGGGGGTGGGAGGGGTGGGGGGGGTGGGGTTGGGGGGTGGCTTTGCCTGTGGTGAGGTGACCGGTGGCAACGATCGAAGAGGAAGGTCTTCAGGTGGGACCTGAAGATGGGGAGGAAGGAAGGGGACGAGGCAGAGGGAGGGATAGAGGGAGAGAGATCCCGGAGCTTTAGGAGTCAACAAGAAGTCTTTCAAGACTGAGGTGGATAGACGTTTGTCAGGTCGGGGGATCAGGGACTGCGCAGACCTGTAGCTCAGTGGTTGGAGCCCTCGCCTCGCAAGCGAGAAGACCTGGGTTCGATTCCCGGGGCAGCGCGAGACCTTCGGCGAGTTTCCTCACACACAACGCCCCTGTGTTTACCGGCAGTCAGTAGGTGGTTCGTCGATCGGAGCATCGCTTTTCCGGGGGCAATGAACCCTTCAAAATAAAATAATAATAATCATAATAATAAATCGGTCACTTCAGTCCACGGCCGTTTGCGTGGACGCTGCTGTGCGCAATTGGCTGTCGCGTTTCGCACGCAAAATAGACAGTCACTACACTTTACAGTGTAGGGCTGTGAGACGTCTCGAAAACGTGATGAGGCGCTGTATCAAACGCATGGATTATTATTATTATTATTATGATTATTATTATACGGGGCAAAGGCGGGTAATTGGAGTTGATGTACAGATCAGCCATGGTCTTATAGAATGGTGGAACAGGCTCGAGGGGCTGAATGGCCTCCTCCTATTCCTGTGTTGCTAAGTTCTTCCCTCTCCCGCAGTCCGACGCCTCTGGTTCCGGGGGAGACCTTGTTGCCCCAGAGTGGGGTCCCCGTCTCGTACCCTCAGCTCGCAGCGACCCACAGCGACCCCCAGGAGGACTTTCCGCTCCGTAAAACTGGTCAGTAACACATCAGTCACCGTCTCTCTGTCCGTCTCTCTCTGTCCGTCTCTCTCTGTCTGTCTCTCTCTGTCTGTCTCTCTCTCTGTCTCGCTCTCTCCCTGTCTCTCTCTCCCTGTCTCTCTCTGTCTCTCTCTGTCTGTCTCTCTCTGTCTGTCTCTCTCTGTCCGTCTCTCTCTGTCCGTCTTGTGGTAGTCCTGCTCCCGGCCGTTCCCGTCTGATCCCGGCTTCCCGTACCGCTGTCCGATCCGCAGGTCCATGGCGGCTAGTGGAGCGAGGACCGACCCAGGTTCACCTCGTTCATCAGCTGCCGATTGGAGAGAGGGAGAGAGAGGAACCACTCGGTTAACTTACGTTTCGACAGCACCTTTCACACCCAATGTTTCGCCTCTCAAAACACACAGTCACTCCGCTTGGCAATGCATACTGTGAAGCGCTTTGAGACGTCTCAACAAGGTGACCGGGGGCCCTGCATCAAATTGCAAAGGTTATAATAATAATAATCCTCGCATTTGATATAGCGCTTTTCACGTCGGGAGAGGACGTCCCAAAGCGCTTCACAGAACACACTGTAAAGCGAATTGACTGTACATTTGTGGGCGAACGCGGCGGCCAATTGCGCACAGCAATGTCCCACAAACAGTCGTGGATTGAAAATGATCAATTTATTATTGTTCTTTTTTTTGGAGGGATTATTATTAGGCTCTGTGTGGAACTAATTTGCGTACAGCGCCATCCCACAGTGATTGAGTGGTTTATTATTGGGGAGGAGAGGGGAGGGGGGATATCAGCCAGAATCCCCTCTCTGGAGGGTCAGCCTGGACTGTGAGCTGGTGCAGAGGTCTTGACTTGAAAGTAAAACCTAACACAGGGGCGAGAGTGACTGATTATTATTATTATTATTATCAGTTGCTGTGTCAGCCCCAAAATGTACAGTCACTGCGCGCTGGAGTGTTACCTGGAGTGCTGTGAGATGTCGGGAGTAAAAGGGGAGTGGGGCTCGATTGGGGGAGCAGCGAAACCGGGCCAATGTTTTAAGTCCTTACGTAACGCCCAGCCTGAGATCACACAACGATACCACTCAGGTCAGGGTTCACCACCCAACGCCACATTAATCCCGATATTTATTCTGTTTAATAAAAGCAGCCGGAACTGACTATGACTATTAATTATTGATCCAAATGGTTTCGCCCGCAAACACGCAGTCACTCCACTTCACAACATAATATTCTCCGAAGCGCTTTGAGACGTCTCAACCACCTGACGACTTGTGTTTGTGTAGCGCCAGCGTTCGACGATGGCGGGGGGGGTCTGACAATGAGCCAAGGGGAGAGGGAGGGGGGGAGGAAGGCGCTGTGTCAATTGCAGAGAATTATTATTATTATTATAAGAAAAATCAGAAGAATCCTTATCCTCACACGTCAAAGCACAGCAACGCGTTTCGAAACAAAGTGGAGTGACTGCGCATTTTGTGTGTGAACCCCGCGGCCGATTTGCCCACTGCAACAGCCCCACAAACAGCTGCGATGAGAACAACGACAACAGCGTTACGTGTGACATCCTGGGGATTGTCGGCCAGGACGCACACCGGGAGAACGCGCAGCAACCGGTTAACCTTCGTCCGGAAGCCATTCGGATTAGGGGCGAAATCAAGAGGCGGTTTTTCACCCAAAGGGGTTTAGTGGGAATCTGGAACTCTCCCTCTCTCTCTCTCTTTCCCCCCCAAAAGGCTGTGGATTACGGCCGAATCCATTCACGCCTTCAAGACTGAGGTGGACAGATATTTGTCAGATCAGGATAGTGAGGGATACGGGGCAAGGCCGGGTGATTGGAGTTAAGGTACAGATCAGCCATGTTCGGAACAGGCTCGAGGGGCTGAGTGGCCTCCTCCTGTTTCTATGGGAGGGTGGCATTTGCCCAGCCCGGCTCGCAAAGAGTTAATAGATTCGGGGTGGTGCAATCACTTGCAACAGACGATGTTTAATAGACTAACTAACTAACCACAGGCCACATGCCTGTGAGCTTTACTGGTCTCATGATGCATTGCGTGCGCTAAACCTGGTCTGTGGCTAAATGCGCGATGAACAATATTCGCTCCCACCCGCCCCATCCCCCCACCCGCCCCACACCCCCCACCCAACCACCTACCTCCTCCTCCTCCGCTCTGCAACACAGCAGCAAAGTTGTCACATTACCTGTTAGACATTCAGATTAGGCCCTGGAGATAATAGTTCACTGCCTGATATAGTGCCTTTGCCGTTCACTATCCTCACTTCTCCCTCTCTCTCTCTCTCTCTCTCTCTCCAGGTTTTTACATTGACACCAAGTCGTGGAGTCACCGCGATTTGATACGGCAGCTTATCAGGTCGTCGAGACGTCTCAAAGCGCTTCAGGGGCTACACCGTCAAGAGGAGTGACTGTGTACATTGTGGGCATCCAGTCTGCGCGCAGCTGTGTCCCGCGAGCAGCCGTGCCCTAAGTGACCAATTTTATAATGATCATAGTAATAATCCTCGCATTTGACACAGCGCCTCACCACCACTTCGAGACGTCTCAAAGCGCTTCGCAGGATGCGCTGTGAGGTGTATCGACTGTGTATTGTGTGGGCGAAACGCGGCAGCCGATTGCGCACAGCAGCGTCCACACAAACAGGAGTGGATAGAGTGACCAAATTGAAGGGATTATTACCCCCAGAAAAGCGATCCGCCAATCGACTAACAACCGGGTTCCTACTTACTGCTGGTAAACAGGCGCGTGTGCGTGTGTGTGTGCGTGTGCGTGTGTGTGTGTGGAGTAAGGAAACTTCCCTAAGGTTTTGTCCCGCCCGGGAATCGAACCCGGGTCCTCTCGCCTGCGAGGCGAGGGCTCTAACCGCTGAGCTCCGGGGACTCCGTGATTTAAGATGACACGGAATTCAGAAGCAAACTTGTTATGTTAAGAATGGCGGAAAATCAGTTTCTAAACAGTTATATGTCTGTCAGACCCAGACCCACCCCCCCCCACCCATTTCACCCCCACCCACCCCCCCACCCCGACCACCACCACCACGTGCGCCCCCTCAATAGCTAAATATAAGAGAGTCAAACGGCTTCAGTTGAGGTGAAAAACTGAAGGTGAAAAATAGGCGAAAAAGAGAGAGATTACTGAGAAAAGGGGAAAGAGAGCAACAGGACGAGAGAGTTTGTGGTCTGTCCTGTTGTGTAACTCATCCTGAACCAGAGGCTGAATAAAAACCTGCAACAGGTCAGGGCTTTGGGGGGGAAATGAAGCAACAGTGACATTGAGAGCCAGCGGCGTGAACATCAGTAGAGCCTGTGGAGTCCTGAAGAGTAATAATGATAATAATAATAATAATAATCCTGGCATTTGATACAGCGCCTGTTCAAGCCTTCGAGACGTCTCAAAGCGCTTCGCAGGATACACTGTAAAGTGAATTGACGGTACGTTTCGTTGGTGAAAGGCAGCAGATCGTTGCGCACAGCGATGTCCCGCCAACAAGTCGTGGATTAAGCGGCCAGATTATTATTATTTTTTTGGAGGAATTGTTACCCTTCAAATAAGGGTTAGAGCCCTCGCCTCGCAAGAGAGAGGACCTGGGTTCGATTCCCGGGCGGAGCGAAACCTTAGGCAGGTTTCCTTACTCCACGCGCCTCTGTTTACCTCGCAGTAAATAGTCGATTGGCAGATCGCTTTCCCGAGGGTAATAATCCTTCAAAGAAACTGGTAACAAAAAACGGGGTCACTCAATCCACGGCTGTTTGTGGGGACGCTGCTGTGCGCAATTGGTTGGCGCGTTTCGCCCAGAAAAGACACAGTCCCTCCACTTTACAGTGTATCCTGCGAAGCGCTTTGAGACGCCTCGAAGACTTGAACAGGCGCGGTATCGAATGCAAGGATTATTATTATTAATTATTATTATTATTCATTTGCGACGGGAGAGGGTTGTCCCCGTATCGTTCTCCCTCCATCGCTGTGTAAATGCAAGCTGTTGTGAAGCAGTGTTGGCCTGATGGTTGGTGTGTTGGACGGGAGGTGGACGGGGGGCTGCGACCTGCCTCTCTTCCCCACCCCTCTCCCCTTTCCCCCCACCTCCCACCCCACCATCGCTCTTGACCTAACAAGGCCTCCTCAGCGGCTCTCCGCTCAGAGCCTGCGGTCTGCGGCCCTGTCTCTGTGCTCGTTCGTGCATTGCACAAGGGCCTATTTAGCAACTTCACAGGGAAGGTGATAAGATCATTGGTAAATCTGCCGATTAAAGAGGCTGTTGCAGAGGAGATCGCGAGAATAACCGACTGTACATTACAACACGTACATCTTGGCTGTGGGTTCGACCCTCCCCACCCCCCCATACCCCCTCCCACCCCAAACCCCCAACACTAGGGACTTTGAGCTCACGGTCCAGGCTGATGCCTCAGCGCAGTTCTGGGGGGTGAGCACCACATTGGCGTTGGCTACGTCCTTCACACGAGACGTTCACTCCTCACTGCCCATCTGTTCGGTTGGACGTTAAAAGATCCCGAGAAGCTCCTTTACAAGACGAGTGTCTCTCCCCCTTCTCTCCCTCTCTCGCCCTCTCTCTCCCGCTGTGTCCCAGTGACAAAGCTCCACGTGAATTGGTGGCTGTTTGTGGGACCTTTAACTGCCGAAATTAGTGTCTACACGACCCTTGCGGATGGTTTCCCACGAAGCGCTTTGAGGCGTTAGCGATAAATGAGTGGCTTGTTATTATTGTGCGTCTGTGTGCATCTCCTTCAGTTGTTTAGGAATTAATGCTCACGCTCTGGACGCAAACAGTCACACACACACACACACACACGACACACATTCACAGACAGACGCACACCCAGACACACGTACGGAAACACACCGACAAATTCGCACACCCACACAGGTAAATGTACCCACACGTACAGAGACAGCCTGGGTTGCAAACGCGTTCAGACACACACATACGCACGCACACAGACACACTCACGGACGCACACTCAAGACACACGCACTCACGTAC